TTTTTTTTTATATGGAGAAAAACCCATTTTTTAGAATTTTAAAGCGCACTAACCACGGATCCGAAATGCGGATTATGGCACATTGTAGACGGCCATATTGTCCACAATTTCTCTATAGAAACCTATTGCATAAGTCTGCGACCCTAAAAAATACAGACACTTAAAAAAAATTTTAACAGCAATATTAAAATTGAAGGTAATGGGTTAATTACAGTAAATAACACAATAAACTATAAATTTAGACTATCTTTGGATCTGAATCCGGTGGAAATTCGTTTTACTTTGTATACGGATATTTCTTCTGGAGATTTAAAATTTTTTTTAACCGCTTAAGTTTCTTCCGTCAGACACATATGTATGCATTTTAAAATACAAGTAGTTTATATGTAAGTCGGTATATCATAAAATATACTAAGGGCCGTTTTCTCATCAAACCTTTAGTTTACCGGCCACTTTATCGTCTCGATATACGAGTTTTCGTTTTCTCATCAGAGCATTAATTTCTCGAATCGATAAACTGTTGCTCACCCGATGCAACCTTTAAAATTTGTACCCAACTTTAAATTTTGGTTCGGTTTTGGTTCATGAGCCAGATATATTAGATATTTCAACCAATGTTTTGGTTTTTGCTAACAGTTGCTCCTGCTCTATATTTGCTTATGTTGCATTGCCAACCTTTGAAATTTTATGACGTATGTAGTGAAGTTTCACTCTCGGAAGTGTAGTGAAGTTTCACTCTACGGAATAACGAATTTATTTTTACCGGCAAGGTAGGAAAACGAAAACACTTTAAATTGAGGAACAATTTATCTGCCCTGTTAGTAAAGGCAACTTTACTGCTTACATTAGAAAACGGCCCTGAGTATAATATAATCTATGGCCTTCAAATAGTTACACAGAATAAAAAAAAAAATTACCAATCGAGCCTTGGTTTCACAATTTCCTTGAAAAGGCGAGCAAGTGCTTTTGTGTGCAAATACATTTTTGCCTGAAGTTCTAGGGGTATGTTGAGATCTTTTAAAAGCTCTCTACCTACCCTTTGTTTATTTACCATTAATAATCGCTTAGTATATGCTAAAGGCATATTAAGGAAAATAGACAATACGGTGGTTTTGAAGGCGTTTCAGGTAGGATAACTACTAGCATTCTAACGAAAAGGAAAAAATATAACTTTCCAGATTCTTCGAAACCTTCAAAGGTATATACGAAGATTGAACGACATTCCTACTGAATATAAAGTATTGCCACACTTGTCCCAAATCAAGAAATTATTCAATTAGGGCCGAGATTCCAAGAATCGATCTGATTTTTTTCTGTGAACTTTTATTAGAAGCAATTTTGTAAAATATGGCCTACTTTTTAAGAAAAAAAGATAAGTCTACGACTTGAAAAGATACAGGAACTTAATAAAAATTTTAATAGCAAAATTAAAGGCATTAGATAGTCTTTAACCGAGTTAATTACAACTAAGAATACAATAAACTATAAATTTAGACTAGCTATGCAACTGGATCCGGTAGAGATTCGTTTTCGATCTCACGCAGGTCGTATGGAACTTGGTCTTTGAGCATTTCCACTGCTTCTGGAAACATCTCTTGACTTTTTACTTTACTAAATTTTGGTTTTATGTGCGTTATATAGGGATCTGAACTTATCAAAAAGTTGTGCAGGATATCTTCGTTGGTTTGTATTCGGCCACTCTTTCGCGAATGTCTTTCCCTGACCGCTCGAAAATCTTTATTTCGTGCTTCAGCAGCTTCTTCCGACAGCATTCCAATTGGTTTAAAGGAGTAATGTTGGCAAATATCTGCACCATACACTAATAGCTTATGAACACTAGCAGGCATGTGGTACCAAGTGTACAAGCTGACATATAGTTCCGCTGTTTCTTTGCAAAATTGTCTAATTTTTTCTGTTTCAATATTTTTCCCGGAAGCAATAGGTTGCAAAATTACAGCAAATCGCTTTATTAAGCGACTGTCTACACCCGTAATCTCTGCAGACTTCTCGTAATCTCTGAAGAACCTCCTGGCTGTGTTGCCGTCATTAGTTGTACCGAGGCCTTGCTTTACAATATCTATCAGTAATCCCGTGACAGTAAAAAATTCTTTCTGGGTCAAGTGTTTATTTGCTTTTTGGAGTACTTTATCTTCACCTCTAGCTGCCCATTTCTTGAAGTCCATATTATGTGATATGTGTAAAATACACTCCATGCATCTTATCCACATGTGAAG